GTTTGAACACAAACATGAGCTTCACCGGCCGGCTTTGGTTGACGGCCAGACACTGGATGACAAGTTTGCTCAAGTAGTCGCGAATATCGATGTCTTCATAACAAACAGGGATATGTTGGTTGATAAGAAGAAAACGATTGATTTTCTAGCCGACGCGATAAGAATTGTCATGGATCGAAACGCCTCGGAAAATAAGATTAAGGAATTAGGTAAGGCTATGAAGTCAAGATTGGCTGACAAGATGCTGCTAGAAATCGACCCCGATTTGATTGGCAAGATAATTTCGGGCTTTGAAAAAACATTAGATGAGTCCTCTACGGACCAGGAATTGCTGGTTGAGTGGCTGGTTACGGCAATGGAGGATATCGTGGATCACACGCAAGTCTTGGGCAAGAAGCCAAGCACAATGGAGAACATTGTCATGACTTTCAAACCGTTGCTTGTTAAAATCCAGAAGTTGAAGCCATTGGTTGATGTTCCTGTTCTGAATGACAAACAAATCGTGGCTATAAACAAGAACTCGATTAAAGAGCTTGTCTCAGCCGTCAAGCAGAGTATGACTGACAAGAAAGTCTTAGATGACAATCAAGTCAAGACTGACAAACTGGTCTTCGCATCTATGGGAACTCTTCTTCCATTATTAGATGGAAGAAGCACGATGCCTGACATCATAGCGTCTGCTGTTAAATCCGAATCCAAAGAATTACAAGCTCTAGGCTCCACGTACGAAGACATTTACCTTGATCAATTGATTGAAGTCAGTGAGGCCCAAAAAATCTGGCACGACATGGGATTGGTATATTATATCAACACTCTCGGTACGGATAACGAGGCAAAACTCGCCATCACAAAACTGTTGATCAAGCTTAACGATAAAGGAGGCGCTTCTCTTGTGGACGATGTCGTGAAGACGATGAATGATCTGAATAGTAGCTATTTATATAAGTATCTACATCGGGCCGCTCTTTTCATCACGAAAAGGAAAGCAATCGATGTGCTTAAGAAACTGGTGTCTGAAAAGAATGGCAATGTGATGGATCTCATTGCCGATAATGACCGCTTTAAACTGTTCGTAGGTTATGCGACTTTTGACGAATATCCAGCGATTACAGTCCAGTACTTGCGGACAGTGACGACCAAAGAGGCAGTTCTCGCTTAT